CAGCTGGGGCTACAGGGAGACCCTGTCTCAAAAAGCACCCCCTTCCAAAATTATTTAAGCTGGGTGTGGTGGTTTATGCCTTTAATCCCAGCACTTGTGAGGCAGGGGCAGGCGGATCTCTGTGAGTTTGAGGCCAGCACAATCTATATAGGGAGTTCCAGGCCAGCTGGGGCTACAGAGAGACCCTGTTTCGAAAAAGACCAAAAAATTTTATTTAGGCCAGCCAACCTAGTCTAATTGATGAGCTTCAGGTTCAGTGAGAAACCCTGCCACCAAAAATAAAGGTGGACAATGATCAAGGAAGACAACCTTAATCATGGGCCTCCACACATATGGGCACACATGTATATATACAATACCACGGTGTGGGGGTTAGGGGGAGGAATGGAACTGAGGGCAAGAGTGAATATTTGGTCTCACCTCTGACTGCTTAATTTTTTTGGCTCAAATATTCTTTTTTGGGGTTGGGTCTTTTTGAGACAGGGTCTCCTTGTAGCCCCAGCTGGAGTGGAATTCTCTTTGTAGACCAGGCTGGCCTGGTCTACAGAAATCTACCTGCCCCTGCCTCCCGAGTGCTGGGACTAAAGGCATGTGCCACCATGCCCGGCTTATTATTTTTATTTTATATGTATGAGTGTATTTCCTGCATGTATGTAAGTGCACCTGTGTTGTGCAATGCCCTCGGAGGTCAGAAGAGGGCATCAGAACCCCCTGGAACTGGAGTTAGGGATGGTAGTTAGCTGCCATGTGGCTGCTGGGAACTGAATTTGGGTCCTCTGCAAGAGCAGCCAGTGCTCTTAACTGCTGACAGGCTGGTATTTTAATAAGTAGACTGAGTAAATAAGGTTGCCCCAAGGTGAGTGGGCATCATGCAATCTGTTGAGGGCTTGAATAGAACAAACAGGAAAAGGAAAGGTGAATTTGTTTCTGTCTGAGCTAGGACATCTATCTTCTGCCCTTGGACTTCATTCAGTATCCCTAGATCTCTGGACCTCAGGTGCAGACAGAACTGGTGATGTGGCTACCCTCTGTCCTCCGGCCCGCAGATTCAGACTGAATCTCATCGTTGGCTTTCCAGCATTTCTAGCTTGCAGACAGCAGATCAAGGGACTCCTCAGCCTCCAACGTATTTATTATATAGTACATCTAATATCTTTTTGTTTCTTTTTCTTTGGAGAACCTTAATTATACCCAGGCTGTTTTCTGCCACCACCTGCCTCTCAGGTGTATTCTGTTTTTTAAGACTTATTTTATTTATTTATTTATTTTTTATTTTACATGTATGCATGTATTGACTGCATGTAGGTAAGTGCACCCGTGTTGTGCAATGCACTTGGAGAGTTATGGACAGTTGTTAGCTGCCGTGTGGGTGCTAGGATTCGAACCTGGGTCTTCTGCAAGAAGAACCAATGTTCTTAACTGCTGAGCCATCTCTCCAGCCCCAAGATTTATTTTATTTTAATTTAATTTAATTTATTTTAATTTAATTTAATTTTTTTGGTCTTTTTGAGACAGGGTCTCCTTGTAGCCCTAGCTGTCCTGGCACTCACTATGTAGACCAAGCTGGCCTTGACCTCACAGAGATCCGCCTGCCTCTGCCTCCCCAGTGCTGGGATTAAAGGCGTGTGCTACCACGCCCGGCTGATTTATTTTATTTTTAATTATGTTATGTCTTTGTATGGGTTGTGCACTTGAGTGTAGGGGGCCGTTAAGTCCAGAAGAGCTAGGATGGGGGTTAGTTGCTTGGGAGCTGGAGTAACAGGTATTTGTGAGCTGCCTGATGGGGGTGCTGGGAACCAAACTTGGATGCTCTGGAAGAGCAGCAAGTGCTCTTAACCACTGAACCATCTCTCCAGACCCTCAGTTGCATTCTTGTCACTTCTATAGTTTTTAGGTATTGACTCCTGACTCAGGCCTCTCTACATGCTAAGTGCTACTGCCACCTTGGGGGGTTCCAAAGCTCACAGAGATGGGTGGTCAAGCTAGGGACCAGATACAAAAATCCAGGCTGCTGCTCTGTTCTGTATTGTCAGATTTGTGTTTTTCAAAGGCCCTAGCAGAAAGGAACCATGGGACCCTCCAGAATTTTAGGTCCTTGGCTCCTATGTCCTGTCATGGCATCAGACCCTGTCTCTGTATCCTATGTCACTAAGAGCCCATTTTGAGCACCCCTGCTGAGCATAACCTCTCTCCATCCTCTTCCTGTTCTTTATCCTCAGACACTCCAGACCCCTGAGGCCTCCCCCATACTCCCTAGCATCTCGGAGGATTCAGCTTCTTTCCCCTGTCTTATCAGCTCCCTCAAAACTCCACATCTATTTTCCAACTGTAGATAAATCTAACCATTCATTCACACACACAGTGGGATCAAACCTCCAGTCTTCATGGGCCACAGAACTGGTATTACTAAGAATGGAGGCCTGCTTCTGGAAGGCCGTGTGCTCCCTTCTGCCTAAGCAAGCTCCTTTAGCCTTTTGTCTCTCTCTAGCCCTCCAACCCAGAGCCTGCTTGTTGAAATTCTGGAGTTTAGCCACAGTTGCCTCTTGTATGAACTTGCATCGTTTTAACAGCTGTTTCCCTCACTCATTCTCCCCTTGGCTAAGCTTTTTCAGATTTATTTTTTATTAATTTTTAAAGATTTATTTGTTTTTATGTGTTTATGTGTTTTGTCTGCATATATGTATGTGCACCACATGTGTGCCTAGTGCCTGGGGAAGCCAGAGATGGTGTTGGATCTCCTGGAACTGGAGTTCAAATGGTTGTGCCTTGACACGTGGGTGCTAGTAACTGAACTTGGGTCCTCTGGACGAGCAGCAAGTGCTCTTAACTGAGTCATCTCTCCAGCCCCAGTTAAGTCTTATTTTAAAACCCAGTTATTTCTACAGATAGATACCTCTTCATGTTAAGACACAGAACAAGGCTGTCAAGGATGCACTGCAAATAGATAAACAGTTGTTATCTCTGTGGAGGACCAGAGGCAATCAGGATTGAGGGAGAGAGTTGGTCAAAGGGTACTTTAACCTTATCTGGAATGTTTCTACTTTTTTTTGGAGATAGGGTGTAGCCCTGGCTGTTCTGGAACTCGCTGTGCAGATTAAACTGACCTGGAACTCATGGAGATCCCCCTGCCTTTGCCTCTTGAGTGCTGGGATTAAGACCTCTTGAGTGCTGGGATTAAGAGAATGTGCCAACATGCCTGGACCAAGTTTCTACTTTTTTTTCATCTTTTAGAGACAGGGTCTCCCTGTAGCCATAGCTGTCCTGAAACTTGCTATGTAGACCAGGCTGGCCTTGATCTCACAGAGATTGGCCTATCTCTGCCTCCTGAGTGCTGGGATTAAAGGCCACATGCTTTGCTCCAAGTTTCTACTTTTTAAATGATGTTTTGACTTTTGCAGTGCTGGGGATGGAGCCCAGCACCTCATTCATGCTAGGCAGTGCCCTACCATGGAGTCACATTCCCTAGCCCCTCTACTTTTTACAAGGCGATCATATCATGTATTTATTAGTTGTGAGATAATAAAAACAAAGGGACTAGTTCAATATTAGACCACTTTCCCCAAACTTCCCAGGTAGATGGAGATATTTCCTTTTAGGGGATCAAATAACACTGTTCTCGGTGTTCTGGGAAATACTGGTTTATTGCAGTGTTTGTGCCTGTCTTTCTCTGAGATGGGAAATCCCTCAAAGGTATAAACTTTATCTAATTCATGTTCCCAGTGTCTAGCAAAGTGCCTGGCCATGAGCAAGTAATCAGGGAGGGCTGACATCGACGAAGTGCCTTTATTAGTGGGCTTCTTGAAAGTGCTCGCCAGGGGGCAAGCCTTATGTTGATCTTCAGTTGTGGATTATTTTCATAGTGTTCAGGGAAGAATGTCTCCAGGAGTCTGAAATGTGGACAGTGGTTTCCAGCCTATACATGAGGCCAGAGTTGCATTGTGGCCCCATGTCAGGATCCAGGGCAGTGCTGTCTTGTCACATGGAATCCTTCTGAAGTCATTGCTTCTTCAGCGGTTAGTTAAAAAAGTAAGAGACATATATCCAAACACTGAATATGTCAAGCACGGGCCACACTTGTGCTTCTAAGTTGGACAGGCCAGCCCAAACAAACAAGATGTTCCCATAAAGGGTAGGCCAAGGAGATAGGAGTTAGGGAACACTTAGATCAGCTCAGAGTGTTTTAGACTGGGAGGGAGGGGCAAGTGGTCTGAGGGGCTTGAAGAAGGCACCTGGAATCTTGGTTTTTTATTTTTTGATACAGGGTCTCACTGTACAGCCCTGGCTAGCCTGGAACTTGACATGTAGACCAGGCTAGCCTTGATCTCGCAGAGATCCACCTGTCTCTGACTCCCGAGTGCTGGGATTACAGGCATGTGCCACCATGCTCGGTCTGCTTCTTTACCTTTTCTGATATAGGTCCTATTGTGTAGCTCCGCATAGCCTGGAACTTGTTGTGTAGACCAGGTTGGCCTGTAACTCAGAGATCTGCCTGTTTCTACCTCCAGAGTGCTGGGATTAAAGGTGTCTCAGGCATCCCTGAAATTTTTCTTTTCTTTCTTTCTTTTTTTTTTTTTTTTTTTTTGAGATAGGGTCTCCTAGACCAAGTTGGCTTCAGTCTCATAGAGATCTGCCTCCCAAGTGCTGAGAATAAAGGTACGTACTACCATATCCAATCCCTGAAATCCTGCTTTAATGTCAAAATGTGAGCTCCTAGTCACAGACTCTTTGGCCCTATCTATTGCACATAAGCAAATGGGCAATGGAATAGCCCCAATGAGTCAGTTGGATTTGTGGCTTTTAGAGTTGGAAGTGGGTACCAGGTGGCCAGGGATGTACCATGGCAAGGAGGTTGCAGACAGGTTTGAAGCTGGAAGAGTTCAGAGAACCCTACCAGTCCTCCCTACTCCCTCCAGCCTCCCCAAACCCTCAGATTTGTCAAAAGGCTATTAGAGTCTGCTGTACACCTTTAGACCCCCATGAAAAACAGCCGCAGTCCGTTGTCTCTTTGCAAGTCACTTTTATTTACAACAGAATTGGTGGCTTTGTTCCTTAATCTTTAAGGGGGGCACTTGGCATCAGCAGCCAGAGGGAAAATCTGCAGTGAAATCAAACTCATTCTGCCCCAGCCACAGCTCAGGAAGCTCATTGGCTCGATCTAGTCCCAGTTCCACCACCAGAGACATCAGTACCTCCTCATCCACAGGGTCAGAATCAATGATAGCAGGGCTCTGGGCACCTGCAGAAGGAGGGAGTACTTCTGCCCCTCCTGCCCCTCCTGCCCCTCCGGCCCCTCCAGCCCCTCCTGCCTGAGCCCCAAAGCCCCAGTTTTGCAGGGATCCTGCCTCCCCCTGTTGGCCTGGAGTGGCAGTAGCAGTGACAGCAGCACCCGCTGCAGCCATTCCATGATACTGGCTATTGAGCTTCTGCAGCTGCATACTGGCCAGCAGGTGAGGAGCGGGGTGGTGCAGGTTGAAGGGTGGGGGTTTGGTAGGAGGGGTGACAGTAGGAGAGCTTATTGGAGATGGTGATCCAGAGGAACTAGTGGGAACTCCACTGGCCTTGGCTCCATTAGTGGCAACCCCAGGATAGTGCAGGATGGCCACTGCTTTGCGATCTTTCACGCCCAGGTTCGAGTAGGCCAGAGTGTTCATCTCCTGGTTAGCATCCTAGAAGACAGAAAGGCACACCATAGTACCCCTGCTCCTGGTTTGTCCCTTGTCATTCACTGGATCTGGAAGTCTCCTGCATGCTCTGCATTTGGGGCTACAAGTGGGCAGAAGGCAGGAGGACCCCAACTCATGTATATCCTTTTGCTTCCAGGGCTCTGACCTCCTGAGTACAGACCCCAAGTATTGTGCTGGAGTACCACCATCCTAAGTGGGTCTCCCCCCGCCACTTCTGGGTCTAAAAAGGGCACCTCTCTGCCCTGTTTCTTAGCCCAACTTAATCTATTCACCACAGTGGTTTTGTTCTAATTCTGTTTCTTTGCTCTCTTCCCTGCTGTCTGTCAACACCCCTAGTGGGGTCAATTCAACCACTTTTAGGCAAAAGCTATTCTCATTTTCCCCAGACAAAGTCATGCTATCTCTTCTCTGGTCAAGGGCACTGGCTACATGCCACACCAGGAAGGTCTAGCGAGTGACTCCTCCCCCCAAAGTCTATCTTTCCGTGCCTCAATATCCCATCTGTAAAATGGCAAAACTCACCTCCTTCGCAGGGGTGGTCCCACCCTTGACATCAAGTGCAGGTCTTGACATAGTTGGCATTTCAGAGACTTCGCACAAGCTGGATACACTGGTGGGTGTTGATGCTGCCAGCTGGAGCTGTTGTTCTGTAAGTAAGAGAGAAGAAATGCTAAGGGTGAAAGTCTTTCGTGACAAAGGAAGCACTAGTAAAGTCCAGGCCAGGATGGCTCCACTCAGGTACAGACAAAGATGGTGCTAGGGTTAAACCCAAGACAGAGCACCCATGACAAAGAGAGGAGACAGAGCTGGAACTCTGACCCAACTCCAGAAACATGCTCCTTCTATTCAGCCAGGTGCTACCCAAAGCCAGCAATCCATATTTACTCACGCAAGTGACTTCCGAGTCCCAAGGTAAGGGTGGCAATGTTCCTGACTCTGAGGGCAGGTACCCTGAAAGTGGTTCACCATGTCAACTGACCACTAGCATCCAGGTCTCCAATGGGACTGGGGGGAAGTGAGAAGTCAGCAGAAGACTTAGCTGGAGGCTACAGCACTGGAAGGGTGCAAGTTCCCCAAACAAATGTCCTGGGGTTCCACAGCCCTGCTTTGGGCTTGCCAGTGTGAAGCCAGTCCATCAGGGTGTTTTGGAGACTGAGGCAGGAGGAGCCAGAGAGCAGCTGGAAATGTTTCCTCCTGGTCTCAAGGCCCTCCAAGACAATCCAAACATTGGGCTTTCCCAGGACACCTGCCCTAAAGCCTGGAGCCAGGCCACACCCATCTGCAGTGAGAGGACAAAGAATTCTCCTGGAGAGAAAAATTCAAAGGCTTTAAAAAAAATCCCATATATTCTAGTGTTTATGACAGGGATGTGGAATTTCATATTTAGAAACACTGTGTTGAGCCGGGAGTGGTGGTGCATACCTAAAAATCCCAGCACTCGGGAGGCTGAGTCAGGCGGATCTCTGTGAGATGGAGACCAGCCTGGTCTCCATAGCAAGTTGCAGGACAGCTGGGGCTACAGGGAGATCCTGTCTCAAAGAAAACAAAACAAAACAAAACAACAAAAAACAAAAAAAATAAAACAAACCCAAAACAGAAACAATCCCCCCAAACAAAAACCAAACGAAAAAAGAAATACTGCTTTGTCCACAGAATCTTGAGGACCCCAAGAGGCATTTTTCCAAGTAGGCTAAAATTTGCTGGGACTCTGCCCCCTCCGCACCATCGTCAGTGGTCATTAAGGCTGTGTTCACTTCCAAAAGTGCCACTTATTGCCTATCACTTTTTTTGCACCATCACGCTGTTGAGGGGCGGGACAGAGAAACGGGGGTGGGGGGTGAAGGAGAACATGAAGGCAAAAACTAGTTTCTGGGTCCCGAAGCACTGCTCCACTAAAGCACAAACAGTGCTCTGTGGCCACCCTAGAATACTGCGAGCCAGGGATGCCCAGATCAGGGCGCTCTTCAGGAGGCACGTAACTGTCGAAGTTGCCCCTGGCTTCTCCTACGTCCCCTTCCCCCCCCCCCCCCCGCCTCTGCTTCGAGAGAAAAAACGCTAGCAACAAAAAAGGGGGTGGGGGGAGAAGGGAGAGAGAGGGGGAGGGGAGGGGGAGTGGGAAGAGGGAGGGAGGGAGAGAGGGAAGTCTGGTCTGGAGTGTGCTCGCAGGTCGGCCTAGGGAGGTGTGTGTAAGGCGAGGTGCGCCACCCCTCCCCCCATGGCTGAGACCATCCAATGGACCACCGCATCTCCCTCAGCTCACTTTCCCGATTTTTTGCCCTCCCCTCTACTTCTCGGCCCATTCGAGGGGACGACTTGGCGCCCCAACGTCCCCGTCGTCTGCGAGCGGCGAGCTGACCACCGCGACGCGAGCGGCGGCGAAACCACGCAACAAGTGCCCGCTTGGCGCCTCGCGCCTCCCGCCGGTCGGCTAGCGTGCCCGTCCCGTCCCGTCCCGTCCTAGTCGTCCTCCAGCTCACGTCCCCGTCCGGGTGCCCATCCCGTCCCGTCCCGTTCCGTCCGGTCCTCCTCCAGCTCGCGTCCCCGTCCCGGTCCCCATCCCGTCCCGTCCGGGTCCTCGTCCTGCTCCTGTCCCTGTGCGGCTCCGTCCCCGTCCCCATCCCGGTTCGGGTTCCACTCCAGTCTCATACTGGTCCCCATCCCCGTCGGCCTAAGGCCACGACGGATGAGGGTGGAAAGGGGAGAAGCAGCGGCAGGGAGCGGCAGGTGGCGGGCCTCCGACCTGTCGGGGGAGCAAAAGTTAAAATGGCACCAACCATCCACGTCCATGTCCACCTCCATCTCCATCGCTGAGGAGAAACGGAGAAATCCACACAGCACTGCGGCTTGGCTGGCTAGCGCCGTGAACAGCCCTGGCAGTCGGGTGCTCGTGCCTCTCGGGCTCCGAGCGTCCGTTACCTCAGGTGCTCTGAAGCAAACTGGCGACGCGAGGCACGGGGTCTCCGCGTCACCGCGACTTTGGGGACCCGCGGCGTCTCCGCGCGTGGGGGCGCACTTTGGCGCCGGCAGCAGATGCTCCCGCGCCTCCCGGACACTTCCGAGCGTCCGACGCGGCCGCCGCTCCCAGTCGGCTAGCGGGGGAGTGAGGCTCTAGGAGGTGAGGTAACTTGGCCAAGGTCACCGCGCTTGAAAGTAGCGCGACCGGAACTTGCTGTCCCACCCCGGGTCCCGCACAGCGCGAGGTACCGGCTGGGCGTCTCGCGGACACCGCTTCGCCCAGAGAGGGGCGTGTACGACGGGCTGAGGCAGCAGGCTCGGCTGCGTGGGGAGAGCGAGGCAAGTTGTAAGAATGCATGAACTTCCAGCCCGCAGCTCCGCGGGACTCGGCCCGAACGAAGCCCTTCTTGCCCGCAGCCTCAAGGAAACCAGAGCCCGAGCGGCCAGATGCGGTCCGGGCTCCCAGCAAAGTCGGGGGAAGCGGAGCCGGAGAAAGCGCGGGCGCGGGAGAGCAGCTGCTGCGGTTTCTTCGGGAGAAGTGGGCGCCGGCTCCGCGGGCCAGCAGCTCCAAGAGCAAACAAGTCCCCCACCCCTGGGCCCGCTCGGCCGCCGCCCGCGCCCTGGGTCCCGGCTGTCCAGCTCAGCACCCTGCCGGGTGGCCCGGCTTGCCTCCTCGAAGCCGCCCGCCCGGGAGAGAGGGAAGCGCGGAGCCCGCTGAGGCGCGGGCGGAGCGGCGGAGCCCCCAGCCCCTCCGCACAAACGCACGCCGCCGCCGCCGCCGCCGGCCGCTCACCTCAGTGTCCGCGGACGCACAGGAGGCCACCCGACCCCGGGACGCCGGGGAACTGCGCCGCCGCACCGCACCGTGCCGCGCCAAGCAGCCCCGGCCCGCGCTCTCGCCCGCCCGGCCGCCAGCAGCTTCAGCGCCGGACTCCCGGGCGGTGGCCGTTGTGGCCGCCGCACTCCCTTCCCAGCGCGGGGACCCGGCTCTCAAGCCCCCATTGCCGCCCCGAGAGCCCTGACGCACACACACGCACACGGCCGCAAGCTGGCCTCGGCTAGGAATCCCAGGAAGGACAGACCCTTTTTTCCCTTTTTTTTTTTTTTCCTTCCCCCCCCCCCCCCCCCCCCCCCATTTCCACGTCTTTATAACCAGCTTAGGGCATTATTAGCACATGTCCTGGCTCGTGGGCGAGTTGGTGGCAAAATCTGAACTGGATACTCACGGAGGGCCCGAGCGGCTGCAGTGCCCGGCTCCCGCCGGTCTTCTCCCGGAACAGCCCCACGCCGCTAGGGGGTGGGAGGAGCAGCCGGGCGGAGCGAGCCTCCTCTCCGCCGCTCAGCCCTGCACTTCTGCGGCTGGGCCGCCCGCAACATTTTATAGCGGCGGTTGGCGTGTGTGGCCCTTTAAAGGCGCTCGAGCTGGTGCAGTCACCGCGGATCGTGTGAAAGCCAAGGGCTGGCTGGGGAACGGAGTCTGCGTGTCCCCTCCAGTCCCACAGCCCTGGGGACGCGACACGGCTACCGAGGTGGGGCTGACGGCCCCAGACTATGGACACTTTTCACCCAGTGCCCCGGCCCGTGCCTGTGTTTCTAAAACTGGTGGCAGCCCGGACCTGGGACGTGGGCTCTCCCCACCGTCCTGCATGGACTTGCCCAATAAATTTCACTTAGTAATTTCACTGAGGCGAGGTAGAGCTGTTAGTGTCTGTTTTCTGACCTAAATCAAGCGGGTGGCCAGGACAGGCTTCAGTGGCTAGGGAGGAGAGCTGTGGGCTTAGGGAACGACCCGGAGGAGGGACACGGACACGGGACGGGGCAGGCAGGCGACGCAAAATCTTAAGTTTGCTGCAGGGCTCTCTGAGCCCGTCTTGCCCTCTCTGGGCTGCATCATCTCCGTCGTGGAATGGCCGGGATTGGAGGGACCATTGCCCCTTAAACTCTCTGTTTTGTTCAGAGCCACTTGGAGGGATTAGATGGTAGCGACGGCCTCCCTCAAGACCCGGGGTTGGGTTCAAGGATTTCTGTCCTGTTGGTCATCCGGGGCAGAAGGAGACTGGCAGGATGCGACGCTGAGAAATGCTGTTCTACCGGACCGCGGGGCCAGGTGCAGCTCACGTGGCTCGCGGAAAAGCCGAGAGCAGACAGCGGGTTCGAAAAGCTTGGTGCAGAAATCGCAGAGGTTCCTCTTGCCTTTCCACGATGCCAGGTTATTTTATTATGATTATATAATTATTCACATCTAGGAAGAATGACATTTTGCACTTGGAACACATCTTTCTTGGGTTGGGATGTTGACTTACGTATCCTATTGGAAAGAGATCTGGGGTTTTCTCATTTCAGTTCCTTTCTGGTGACCTGAAACTCCCAGCTCACCCCTTACAGGAAGGCCACCCAGATTACCTCCTCTGATTAAGATCCCTTACCCCTCTCCCCCCCCCTCCCCGACTTTCAACAACTCAGTTTACACTGTTTGCAAAACATGGTCATTTGAAAAAGTCCTATGTTAAGGAAACAGGGAGGGATGTCAAGAAGTCATTTTCACTGTGTATGTCTTGTGTCTTCTTAATTGAATTTGAAGACCTGAAGGTCTTTTTTTTTTTCCCTTTTTAGGATCCCAAGTGCCCTGCATTTGCTCTTCTAACAGAGTCCTGTTTGTTGATGAAATGACCGGCTTGCTGACATAAAGAGGGGGAGCAAACGGAGGGACGGATCTAGGCCCTTCCTTGGCATCTGGAGGAAGTTGGGGGTGAGTATCCTGGATATCAGGAAAATCCATTCCCCCGTTCGGCTTCAAAGATGCCCTCCTTGCACGGCTGGTTACTTGCCCTCTCCTATTCAGCTTCGACTCAAACCCGGGTAACAGCTACACTCCACGCACCATCGCTGTACTTCCTCACTTTGCTCAAAGATTGTGGGTCGTGCCTAGCCTAGTTTCCTTTTGAGAAAAGGCGCGATCTATCGGGACCCTAAACCTCTACTAGGGTTGCATGCAAAGTACACCCCCAAAACCTCTCGCTGTTATTCTTGGGCGGGAAAAGTTTTGTGAAAGCAAGTGTTAGAGAAGGAGTGCACCTAGGCTTTTGAATTGCGAGTTGCTAATGTGAACCCCTGACCCGCCCTCCTCCTCAGCTTGGACTCCAGAGCTGGTTTGTAAACCCCGGCCGCGGCTAGGCTTCAGGCTCCGGATCCGGGACGTGCGGATCCGCCCTCCATCTATTGGATGGCTCCCAGGCCAATTGTTAGAAAGAGGCATATG